TATTTGTATTGCATTAATGCTCAGAGCTACTCTTTCCTCGTCCTGAAAAGATAATTCTTCTTGGATATTTATAGGTATTCCAGCGTCTGAGTGACAGTACAGTTGAGGCGGATATTAGAACCTAGATACCTTTTAAGATCTAAGTCTTGGGCTGTTAGTACTTCATATACAAAACAAGAAAATCTACCAAGGACACTGGATATTTTCTTAATTGGAATTCTGACTTTTCAAAACTTTTTTTAGTTAGTGCCAGCAAGATGGAAACACTTTTAATATCCAGCTGCACTCATTTACAAAGCTATGCTTCCTCCCAGCCATTTGGTATATCCACACTGAGAAGTACTCACAGGTATTTGAAATTTAAAAGCACCCAAAGCAATCCAAAACAAGATGGAGATGGTACTTTGCTTCGCTGCTCCTTGCCAGGCTTCTCCACCCTTGATGTTTCCTAAGAATACTGTAAAAGCCTCTCTGCTGAAATTCACATTGGCTGGAGAATGCAGACACCTAAAGCTGTACTTGCTGGCATCTCCCAGCTGAACAGAAGAGATCCAGAGCAGGAAAAAAAAAACCCTTAAGGTTGTATCCTGAAGTTAAAGTACAAGGAAAAGTAGAAGGAAACAAACAAAAAGAGTAGGAACCAAAGTTACAAACCTAAAGACTAAGCTTGAGCAAAGGTTAAATCATTGACACTGAGAAAATGTGAAGTGTCCAAAGCAGGGCATTCAGTGTATGAAAATATTCATTGACAAAGATTTTTGAGGGAATAAGATTCATAAGTTTGAAATTAACACTTGATGCACTAGTTCAAAACACAATGAAAGTTATCTCATTCCTTTAGAAGTCAGGGACTTAAGCCATACGTAAAAGCAAGATAATGAAAACTCTTGATATTGAATTAACCTACACCAATGTGAATAGCAAGTGCTGAAAGTGACCTAATAAATGAAGCAGGTAATATTGTTGGTTTCACTGAGAAAGGCTTTCTACTCTCCAAAACTTTTAGGAGAGAAATCTACAGTTACAGTTAAAATATATATATATATACACACACACACACCCCCAAACCAAACCTATGTCTGTAAGTGAACACCGACTGTGGATTTGGATGCAATATCACCTTACCAATGGACAGAAAAACCAACTGTAGTTTGAAAAAAAGCCAACAAAGCTGACAGTGACAAAGGCTATATCTGTACTAGTAAATCAAACAGTGCCAGGAAATGTTCTATATATTTAACTGTTAGAAAAGTCCCTAACATTACTTTGGCCTAGGCCAACTAGCGCCTTCGCAAACAACTTAAAGGCACATTTCAGGAGTTACCTCACATCATGGCTATTCCCTGCAGGAAGTTTGGATGCAACCACCCTTTTCTGGGAGGCCAAAATAGTTTAACAGTTGGACATAGGTTATTCTGTGCCAATTGGTCTCAGTGAGGGAGAACATTCCCAGACATGTTTAATTTATGAATACTGACATAGCCAAGTGTTACAGGTTGCAGGCACCTTCAGCCAAAATTATTACAAGACTGTGACCTGCAGGGTTTTAGCAGTGGTTGATAAACAATAGCAGCATGTGAACTAATAAGCTATCGAAGCAGGATTCCTGAGTCTATAGAGTTTTGCCTCCTGCAGAAACAATTTCCTTGGCACACACTGCAACTTTTTACTTTGTCAGTTCAGTTACTTAAAAGGGAAAAGACTAAGATTGTATTGGTGGGGATAGAGGAGGAAAAGAAAAAGTCTTCTAACGATCAGAAAGAGAGAACTAGTACCTACCACATGTAAGAAAAGCATTCTAGTCCTCTTGAAAGTGATTACAAAAGTGTAGTTTTTGTTAAATAATTATTTTCCTGTCCCCATTACATCCAAGAGTTTGTGTTCCACATACGTTAAGCTCTTTGGCAATTTCTATCCCCAAGTGAATGCAAAGTCTGAGTACGCAAAAACAGCTGGTTGCCAAGCCAGCAATCCATATGCAGCAGCAAAGTTTCGGGACAGCTTGCTGCGTTAGGGACACAGGCCTATTTATAGTAGAGCCTACTGAAACTTAGTAGCACAATGCATTTACTTAGAACATTAAAGAGTTCCAGCTTATGATGATGGCCGGGGCTAGTATTTCCTTTTGGCTCGCTCAAGGCCTTCAAAAGTGCCTCATTAAAAGAAAAAGGCAGGGTTCAGGAACGTAGGTAGAAATTAGGCTGAATCAACCTAGATCAAAGAGGATAAACGACCAGTTCTAATTCCTGTTGCACACTTACCCTGAGCAGTCATAAAGTGAGCTAAGTAACATAATTTCACGTCTTAGGCTTGATGATTTTTATGGTTTTAATGGTTTATTATTCTTTGGATCTTGAAGCTCTAGACAGCAAGATTCCTTTAATCAGACATGGGTTATGTCTCAAATACATCCAAGCCAAGTCACCACAGGCTCCTTCCATAGCTCTGGAGAGACTAGAGAGCTAGTCAGTAAATACTGGGAACCAAAACAACCAGAGACCTAAAGTTCACTGAGTTGAATCCTCCGCTCTCCTCAGAGTAACTGGGTTGAGTGTCTTTGCAGTGAACATTCACGGAAGGCATAGACATAGACACACATGCATGAATGCAACTGAGCTCAGTACAGCCAGTCAGACGGTAGAGCATGCTTTGCGCTGCCCAAAAATAACATAAGGGTTAGGCAGATCCCCTCATAGCACAAAGACGGTTTAACAGTTATTAATCTACTGGCTAACCAGCCACCAGAAAGGGTATCTGATCAGGAGACCCTATACTCCTAACACCTTCGGGTTGTCCTGTTGCCAGTGAAGGCACTATAAAATGCTGCAACCTAAAGTAGTTTCAGGCACTTGGAAAACAAAAATATTCATAGCTTTATAAAGGACACATGTTTCACATAAGAGATTTCTCACATCTGAACACAAAAACATTCTCTTTTAGGCACGAGAGTTTACAACGTAATACTACATATGTGCTCTTGTAACACCGCAACTGTGGATATGACCTCCCCAAAAAGCTGAGCCACCTTATTTTCCACTGACTGCAGAGAGAGTTGAAACTACTATTCCGTGGCAGGCATCACTACCTCAGGCTGGTCACTCAGGTGCTATCACGGCATGTATAGAAAATTCAGAAAAGGGCTGCAGAAGTAAGGTAATACAGGACTATGTCTGCAGTTAACAATAAATACATCTTCTGCACGTGGACATGCATCATAACTTTTAATTGCAGGATGGGCACGGAAGTCAGGTAGGCTGGGGCAGCTTTTTCTGTTTTCCTTCACATTCCTGTGGCACAGCCTTCCGATTTAAGAATATGAGAGCTGATAGTGCTTCTCAATATGCATGCATTCTGCTTTACACATGGCTGAAATTATTCATTATGTGCTTCCTGTGTCACAGCCAAAGCTCTGAATACTTTAGTTTGCAAAAAGTCAACAACAAAAAAAAGTAGAAGCAAGAAGCTCCAAGCCATCTGAAACATACAGTGCCTATAAAATCTGCTTGTGGGCTGTCACCTGGGAAGACTGCAAAACACTGTAAGGGAACACAAGTTAGAGAAGGCAGACGTCTTAACAGCCACTAATTGGAATCTAATTACTCTTTCCATTGCCTTTACTCACCACCCAGTCCCCAAGCCAGCTACTGACGGACATTAGCTGTCCATGTGGCATATTCATCTAGCACCAACTGTATCGAGCGTGAAATCAAACGAGACGCTGTTACACCAACATTAGCAACACACCTCTCAAACTCTCTGCCGGATAGAAGAGGCGTGCTGAGTATTTCAGAGCGTACACCTAGCCACACACATTTATAGCTAGTATCTCATTTTTAAGGCAATATAGATACCGTACTTCTATAGGATTTGAATGCTGCAGAGCTGTAGACAAGGGATTAAATTCTGCATCTAAATAAATATACAGCTGAATCACAGTCGCACTGGAGTACGGATGGCCTCCCCCCAGCCTTTTGTTCGAGTTCCCTGCTGTTACAAGCAACTAGGACATATAATAGCTTCCAGTATCAATCCCTTAACTGAAAACCATAAGAAGGTGTCTTGCACAGTGAAAAAATTAAAACTAAATACAATCCTTATTCCTCCAGGGAGAGTTTTCTAAGTAGTCTAAGGAATTGCAAAACCCCAAATCCCCACCATCTAGAGAGCTACGTATACCTGCTTCTTACTTTTCATAATAATAGCAGTGCCAAGAGGCCTCACACAGCGGAAGAACCCGCTCTCTAGCAGGTCTCTACATGCTCGCACTAGGAGCCAGGCCATGCTCTCACAAGCTGACAGCCTGAGCGCCCCCGCCCCCAAAAGTGAAACAATCTCCATTTTACAGATGGGGAAGAGAAGCATAGACATACTTCCTCAAAATCACAGGAGAATCGAGTTAGATTTCCTGCTCTCAGTACAGCACTGTAACTGCAGGCCTCTCCTCTCTTTCACCCAAAAGAAGGGTCTTTTTGTTTTTAAATAGTACATCTTAGTTTTGTGGGGGATCTGAATTTTTGAAGCTCACCAAGCAGTAAGATGATTCAAGGTGTGAAGAGTATCAGGGAAATTATCTTAAGTGTGACTTTCATGTGAGGATGAAAGTCCATGGGGGATGGCTGCGCCACTTGGCTGTGATTATAGTGATATCGAAGCAGCCCACACAGCTTTCCCACAACAGATTGTATTTGTTTCTTATTTACCATACTCTACCATGCCGCATATGCATGCCATAATCTACTTCAGAGATGATTTGGCCAAGCTTCTCTTTGGTTCTGCCTTTTTTCAAGCAGTTTCTCAGATCATACGGTTTGTCCCCAGTGGGAGGAATCTGTACTCCAGCAGGACAGCTGTGCACATGCAACATGGTTAAAAGCTGGCTTGAAAGTATTCAGCCTGAATGAGATGGGACTAGAACATGCAGCAAGGGAAACCTGGTACCTCTTCAGAGAGCAGCAGACTTCTTCCTCTACCACACCACAGCAGCAGAACCACCACCTTACCTGGCAGATGTCTTCTCCATTTTGGATTCGTCTGCCTCAGCTTGATTGAGCTCTGCGGGTTCACACGTACCACTTCAATGGAAACGTTCCTTCTGGGATACCCCATTGCTCCTGTAAAGCAAGTGATACACTGATTTACAAAACACAAAAGCTTTATCAGTGAGATAAAAAAGGGGAATGTTCCTGAGCACTCAAACTTATTTGGCTACACTGCTAAATTATTAAAACAGTCCCTACCACAGTTTAAGCCCAGGTTAACTGGCACTCCCCTAAAAAATTCCCAAGTAGAGTTTGGGAGTTAGTATGGCTCAGGAACTCATCTCAACAGGCACTTTGGACGTCTCCACGCTCTTTAAGAGGAGAAGAGAGTTTAACAGCATGGACACAGACTGTTCCGTGACACTATGTCTCAGTGCCAGACAACAGTCTCAGACACAGTTAATTAATTAGTATACTCACAGCCTAGCTCTCCATTAATCACGGCCTGTCAGCCTACTTGCCAAACTGTACAGTTCCTCTTCAGATAGCTCCAATCAAAGTAAGTCATTAGTGTAACGAGATGAAAGAGACTTTTGCTATGAATCTCCTTGATTCTTGCATCTGCCATAGACCACAACATTACTATAATCAACAGTCATTTGTTTTTCTGAAAAAAATCCCTGATCAGGAGGTGGTCAGGGAGATTACAAACTACAGACCACACCTCTCCCTGCAGACCACACTCATGGATCAGGGAGACCTCTCCCATTAATTAGTGGGATTTGTTTATCAAGGCTAGGAAGCTTCTAATGACACCCAGAGGTTTTTTTATTCTAAAGAGAGATAATTACTAAAATGCATGCAAACCAGTGGAACTAACAGAATATAAAGCAGTTTTTTCTCCAAGAGGGATGCTTTTCAATAGAAATTAGGGTCAGTCTTCCATCAGTATTCTTCCATTGTATTCTTATGATAGGCAAATTTGGGGTGCATGCGACAGGTGAGCATATCTTTTCTTTTTCTGCTGCTGCAAGCAAGAAGCCAGGCAGATAGCATTACCAGAAACAGAACAAACTGGAGAAGTAGAAGCAGCTCCACTAAAAATAAATCAAAAGGCACGCTCTACAAGAAGGTGCCTGTCTACGTCCCGCAGTCTACCTACCTTGAATTTCCCTTATATTTCTACTGGGTTTGCTTTCTTTCTGACCTAAACTGTAATGCTCCACAAGAGGTAGATATAGGGATTCTCTGTCTGTAATTTGCAAGGAATTAGTTTTTTATTATTTCTCATGAAATTTTCTTCTCCACTAAAAATTATTCTGATCATTAAAGTAATGGCATTTAGACAGTGAAATGGTTAAAAATATTTCACTGAATATAACATTTAACATAAAAAATTTCTCAGGGGATACTGCACTGCTGTATTAAGCTACTGTACTGCAAAGATGTGTGAGCTTACCTTACTGTATAGACCTCTGTGCTGGATTCAGACCTTAATTATGTTAAGTCTAAGCTTCAACATTTTCCAAAAATGCTGCTGGGGACTTCATCCACATACTCAAAGGCAGGAGGCAGGAAGGGAGAGACAATAATTGTTTCTTTTTATATTATTACTCTTGATGATTATTAAGATTTACTGAATTGTTGTTGTTTTTTGTTTTGTTTTTACTTTCTAGAGAGATTAATGTTTTTAAAGAATGGTCCTGCATCCTTTTAGATTACACATAAAGAACACTTGGAAAATGATGTTATTTGGTGAAACGTTTTTTTGTTTGGTTTGGTTTGGTTTGAACTCCAGGTTAACTCCTACATATGCCTGGTCTCCCCTGGCTCTGGGTGGGGGAGGACTTCAGATCCAGCAGGGGAGTTCCCTCTCAACCCTCTGATTTCAAATATTTAACAAATTTATTTTTTGCGCAAGCATTTTGTTAAGCCTTTAAGTAGGAGCTAGAGTTTTAATGCATCTTTAAATATACAGATAAAATATTAAGTTTATATATAAAGTAACCACACAAATTATAAAATGCTGCCTTTTTTCGCTTTTATCTGCTCCAGTTGCAGTCTGTTACAATGAGAGAATCCAGCTAGTTCCAAAGTAGGTACCCCTCCAGATTTTAGTCTTGTCAATGTTTTAACCCCCAAATTGTTAAGCGAACATCAGAGGAAACACAACTAGCACAGAATTCTTAGAACCCATGTGAAGTTAATATTGTGATAACATTGATGCAGAATAATGAAGCACGCTACTACTTTCTTACTGCAAAGTTTCAGCCTTTCCGAATGGTAGTTGAAGATTGATCTTGCATGCTGCAAACTAGTGAAAGAAATGACGTCCAAAAGGACTTAAACTTTATCCCAAGCTGATGAAGAAGCCAGTCGTCGCCATCCAATGGTATTGTCTTCAATAATGAGTGCTTGCCTTCATTTGCTGTGAATCAGAAATATCCCAAAGACGACAAATGGGGGAGGGGGGCTGTGACGGTGAAACTAAGGATGCTACTGAATTCAATTGCAAGCCTTGATTCAGCAGCCACAGTTTCTTCCTGCAGCTCCTCCCTGCAAAGACAAGTCCATCATCTCAGAACTAGTTTCACAGAGGTACCTCCATCAGCCAAATTTTCACGTTGAATTTGCAACAAGAATCTGAGAAAAGATTTTTGACCTGCACACACAGGCACAGACTCCCACAAAAATCTTAGTACAGAATTGCTTTGTGGGTTAAAATTGCACTGCCGGTACGTTTCTTTGGCAGGCCAAAAAGCAAGCTATTTAAAGTCCAAAATGCCTGCATGCCTGAGATCGCAAGGCTGCTCGCCTACTTAATCTGCAGTACTATACATGAACAACTCATTTCCTAGCCTCATTGTTCCATACCTCCTCCCTCTTCCTGTATGTAGTACAAAGAGTACAAGCAAAATGTGTCAGCGCTACCTTCCTCAAGATCATCTCAGACACATGCTGAGAGATCGCTAGAGCAAAGCAAGACCATATTTTTGCACTGCATTGCAAAAACAGCTCTGGTACGCAAGCCCCACAGGATTTAGCTTAGGCAATTAAAGATGTTACCAGGGAGCGGGTCTAGTTCACACTCCAGTGTTTCAATATAATTGCATTCTTCACTTGCGATTTACATTAAATAAAATGCATTTCTGAATTTGTTCTGCAGTCTGCATTTAAATGGTGACATCTAGGTTAGATTAGTGATTGGCATGATTTCAAGAAGGATATGCCAAATTTTATTCTTCTTTCTCAAACCAGAGGTAAGCATGCCTGAGGCAACTAAGCGAGGGACAGTCCCTCTCAGAGCGGCACGATGCCTGTATCACAGTACTTTGATGCAGCATGAGTGGAGATTCCCACGTCCTGCTGAGTTCAGAAATCAGTGGGAACCAGATCTGGAAACTGCTGCTTCTCAAAAGATACCACAGCACTGTCTCCGATCCGTTTGTGCCCCACTGAAAGTCATCTCACAGATATATTTGGCCATCTATAGGTTCCTGAATGCTTGGTAAGAACAAAAGAGTAATACAGACGCTAATAGGTCAAAGGACAAGGACGTGGATTACCCCTTGCAAGTATGGTAAACATCAGCTAGAATTTTTCACTGCTACTGGGCTCCAAATTGCTTTTGGAGACCCTTGATACGTGGCCATACACATCCTTCAGGCCCCAAAATGCTATTAGAAATCTGGCCTCTACGTATCTAATACCTATTACACATAATAGGACTTTCAGTGTCCTTTGAGGAGTCCAAACTAATGATTTTCTTCTCTTGTGTTGGCAGAATTAACAGCTGTCTTGCTACTGTTAAACACACGCTACCCGTAAACAACAGGAAAGTAACACTTGCTGGGACTGCACAGCTCTGCGAATGCCTCACAGCAATTTCACACTACCTAAAATACATGTTCGCAAGTTTTTAGAGATTTTTCACTAATTGTCATTATTGCAGATGCTTATCTCTAGGAATAAAAACATTCTGCTCTGAGCAGCTGTTAAGGAAACCTGGCTGTTACTTCTAAGAAGAACAGCTTAATAAATTCAGTGGAATTTATAAGAACATTTGGGAAGGAAATTACAAGTAAGTAACATAGCTGCTTCCATTTATGTACTTACACACAACAATCCAAAAATTCAATGCTTGTGAACATGTCTAAGGAGTTACTCCATAAAATGGCAAAAATGCCTATTCAGCAGAGCAACAGAGAGATTGATCTGAGATATCACTTGGGATTTTCATACTTCTGTTTGCTCTCTAGCTGCAACTTAGCCCCGGTCAGCATTTGGAGATGCCTGTCCCTTCACCCATCTTTTCTTCTTCCACAAATAACTCTGTTTTAAAATGTAAACAAGAAAAACACATGCACATCGTTACAAGCACATAGCTGCAAACAAATCCAAGGAAACATGCAGTTCTTAGACCTGCAGGGCTGCGTGTGTGACCACGACCTCTTGAACTTCTGCTGTCTGCTCAGCGAAGCTGCTCTATCACACTACCGAAAACCCTACAAAGCCAGTCCTAACCCCCGCACCTTTGGTCTACTCCAACAGCTTCTGGGACAGGGCAGTTTTATGGAAGGGTAGAGAGGAGATGGAGCCAGACTCTTCTTGGAGGTACACAGTGATAGGAAGAGAAAAAACGGACACAAGTTGCAACGCAGGAAATTGAGCAGACATGAGGAAAAAATTATCACCCCGAGGATGGTCAAAGACCAGACTAGGTCACCCAGGAAGGCTGTGGGACCTCCATCCTCAAAGGTATTCACAACTCAACCGGACGCGGCCCTGAGCAACCTGATCTAGCCAAAGCTTTCTGAAGCAAGGGGTTGGACTAGGTGACTTGCAGGGGTTGTCTTCCAACCTTCCTTATTCTGTAATTCTATGAACCAGACAAAAAAACTTTGAACAGGAGCATCAGTTGACTAATACTATCCCATCTGTTTAAGACAGCAGCTCCCAACGTGGATCACGATAAAGCAATACTTAAATACTAAGTGAAACATGTTTTTAGGAGAAAATTCAGCTCTTCTTTGGGTAAACACAATCACACTTTGCACCTGCACAGTGCCTCCATCAAAGGTTCCTGAAACACTACAAATATCATTAAGAATAATGATATCCATTAACAGGAAATACAGGTGCATTTCCACAAGCAGAACCAACTT